TATGTCGTCATATAAGCTTGTCAGTATTGACAGTAATACTGACAACACTATTTAGTAAGTGTCTTGATTCATGCTCAATCATCCAGGTAAGTAAATCCCAAAAGGTTGATTCTGTTCATATGGACTTTTTAATGAGAAGGCCATACACTGTCATTCATACAACGCTGACCTAACAACAATACAAACTGAAGGAATTAGATAAAAGATAAGCTTTTGACATTTGAATGAAAAATCATAAAAATTAGTTTTGCTATGTTGGCGATATAATATGAATCCTTAACAAGTTCAGAAAGTCAAAATGTTGTGAATAAACACACGAAAGCAAGGTCCAAAATGATAATTAACTTAAAAAATCCTACATAAACAACATGTACAGTATAACTGCTCATACCAAATGGTATCATCTAAGGGCTCCAGTCCTTAGGGTTCCAGTTGTTTATTTGATAATGAGAGGCACACAGGTCAGTAAAAACTGATATCAGTTGCATCTATGATCATTCATATTTTAATTTAATGCACTTTTACTTTGTTCAGTAATTTTGATTTTGGTTTGATTGCTTTTTGGATGAATGAATGAATGAATTCATTCATTTTTGATGAAATCATCATCATTTAATGTATCTGACAATGGAAAATGATTCACAGATTGGTCCACTCAGACATCTCAATTGCTGACTATGTGGAGATCTCTGAGGATCTAGCTTCAGTTCATATAAAATTTTAAAAACAAACGTTAAAAACTGCAATCTTTAAAATACTCTTGAACCTGGAATTTCTCTTTATCTCTGTAAATATAACAATTTCTCTTGTGACAACCTCAGAAGCTCTATAGGGATGTCAATTTATGATTATGCGTTACAAAAGTAAAACTTAGTGTGGATGTTGGAAAAAAAAACAAAATGGTCTTTGACAGTGTGGAATATATTTAGAAAAAAGAACCTGTCAAAAACCACTATTTTATGGTTTATGGCTGATATTAAATTGTCACTCTGCTGTGTCTCTATTTGTCTTTGCTATGTGTGCTCAGTCTATCTACTAGTGTTGCCAGTTCTCTATGTGTCCTTAATCTGGGTATCTGGTCCCAAGTAAGTTCCATTAGTGGAAATTAAATCCATTTTCAAATCCACTGAAGCAATCCAAATCCACTGGGTGCGCTTCAATCGCCTTCCCGATTCTAGGGAAATCAAACACCAAGGGCTAAATGGTAAAACGCCCTACTTTAAATAAAAAAAAACACGGGGTTTATGTCTCAGGAATGTGAAATATAGGCATATCAATAGCGATAGTATAGTGGAAATTTCCATTTTAGGGCCATAATGTCACCTGAGCTAAATATAT